CTGTACATGAATTGTATGAATCTAAACACCAAGAAAGAAGTAACCCACCTTGGCCACTTCCTTATAAACCTTAGGGATCTTTCTCAAGTTACCAAACAGATTTGTTTTCCTCTTTATAGATACAGATTCCCTAACCTGTACATTAATTTTGAGAAACATGGATGGCACCTTAAACCAACCCTCAACTTCAGAGAATCTTCATTATATTTAAAGGATCTTTGATGACAGGCATCTTAGGAAGCCCTAACATAATTTTCCACTGAAAGCAATGGAAGATCACTTGATTTAGAAGGCCAAAATATTATGTTCTCTCTTTAAAAAAGTCCCGTGAGTAGTTCCCTTTACCTGGGGACAAAATTTCTATTCCTATGGTCAAACAACACATATAATAACCCTGCAAACATTAGGTTGAGAACTTCAGCACCAAGAAAAAAAAAGGAACCACTTTTATAAGCTCCTGAGGCACTCTCCAAAGGCTGGAAAAAGGGAGAAGACACACAAAGCCCTCCTTGAGAGAAAGGGATTGTAATCCCTTAACTTCTCTGCCTAGTACTGACAGTTGGGTACTAAATAAAAATGGCTGGTTTAAGAATGGAAATTCCTTACAGTACTTTCTTCTTTTTTTTTTTTATCATCTCCATTGGACATTTTGCCCACATGCATATTGTGAGCCTAGTTCTCTTGCAACCTGATCAATTTAATTTCTTATACATTATTATCATCATCATGATAGGTCCTGCTACAAACAGAAACCCGAATTCTAGTCTCTAAAATCTGGTGGCAGAGAACTCTAAATAATTATTCCTGGGAGGCAGCCCTGAGTCCAGGCTCTACACTGACAAAAAAGTTTGCCTTCAGTTGCCATGGAAGAGAAAAAAAACAGAAGGAATGGAGGAATTTAAAGAATTTAAAGCACAAAATCATTTAAGTAGAGAAGGTTATTTTGTAAACAAAACTGTTGTTCCCGTTTCATATTTTAGTAGCTAAGTCAATAGTACTTCCTTTCAGACAGATGGTAGATTAGGATGTTTAAAATAGGAGTTGCAGAGTTTCAATGGGCTAGAAACTGTGAAGCCTACTTTTAAAATCAAATTATGTTCTTTTCCACATTGGAGGATGGGTATGAAAAAACAATTTTACAACACTCAGCTGGAAAACTTTTGTATGGATTATGGATATGTGTTTTCTAAAATAAAAACCAGATTTTTAACATCAAGCTGCTTTTCATCATTTTGCTGTTTACCAGAGGAGCCCAGTAGGTGTACAGGTAGCCTATTTTCAATGCTGGTACAAACTGTGAGCACGACACGACGAGAAAATAGAGGTTCAAGAAAAACTTGAACTGCTCATATAAAACCTAAAATAAAAACAGAAAAAAAAGAAAAATTCCTTCAAAATTTATTTTGTGAATGTACATATAAGCATTATTTTGCATAAAAGTATAACTTCATTGAACTACAAAATACATTATTACAATGTTATCACTTTTAGAAAAAAGACAAAAAACTTATGAGTGCATCATTTAACATGAACACTTCTCTCCATTTCAAAAGCAGCAACAATAGTAAGGAAGACTGCTACAGAATTTTCAAGAGGTACTTTGTTTAAACTGATATGTGCGGATGAGCCTGCAGCTACCTAAACTGGGACAGAAAGTATAATTTGCTGTGGAATTCAAAACTACCCACCCGTCTCATAACAGCACTATCTACATTTGTATCCTAAATTAAATTATTTTTCCCTCACTGTGTCAAAACAAAACATATTTAAGTTTTTGGGGTGCCATATATGTGCATATCTACGTCTTAGCTCAGACTAAGTCTAAAGCATACACTTGAGTTTCCTGAGTTGTTAATGGTTTATTTTTAAAAAGTTAAAATACAATTTTCGTTAAAATTAGTGTTCTCAACTTTAAGAACTGTCTGGTAATATCCGTTTTTAATTAAAATGTCATTAGAAATACTATGCAAGGAACACAGAAAAAGAGCTATGTGGAATATATATAACGATTGGAAAATACTTAGCATCAACTTTAAAAGACAACAACAACAACTTTTCCTCAGGATAGCAGTATACCATACAAGCCAGTTATTTCTATATTTATAACACTAGTGAAGTGCAGAGCAGCCAGAATTTATACCAGTTTCCAATTAACTTCTGTTCTCCCCACCTATATAGACACACACCCATTAAAAACTTCTCTGTGATGACCTTGAAGTTTCTCTCTCCAAAAAAGAGGCTGAAGAATATGCTAGTTCAGAGAACTCTCTAGAGAACAGCACTCTTTTAAAATGGATGTCATCTGTATCATTTTCAACAGACAATTGTGACAGCCATCATTTTAGATGCCCTCTTTCAGAGTGGCACAATTTCCCATTGTTCTCAAAAGGAGTGAAGGCAATCTACTTTCAATACTGATAGATCTCTGGGCAGACAGGACAAGCAGAGGGAGAACAGCAGGTAAACAGAAACAAAATGCTGAAGTACAGCTAAAAGGAAAGTTAATTATGGAAAGTTTCAAAAGTCCATGTTATATTATTTCAAAGATAATTCAGGACCAAAAGAGTTTAATCCACAGTACTAAATCCCTTGACGGAATCATTTTATAATTAAATTGAAATCAAATTAAGGTCTGGAAAAAAATCTGATGTTTAAAAGATTAAATACTTGGGAAATTGTACCTTGTATTTTTCCCATAAGTAACAAAAAAATTAAAACCTTGCATTTAGTACAAACCTTAAGTCCACTGCACCCATAAACTGGACAGGGTGCCTCCATAACAATTTAAGTAATTTTCTAGATAATTAGATATACTTAGCGTCTTAGATTACCAAAAAGAGGTTTTGAAAAATAAAACCTGGGATTATTTTCTCCATACATAGTTCAACGGCTGTATTTTTCAAAACCTGCCAATTTAAGTACAGTATCTTTTAACAAAATACAAAAAGCATGTTTCTTCAGCATGTCAGTACAGTGGGTTATCCCTGGCCAGCAGGGACATGGGTCTAAAAGCTTGAGTCTTTTCTACCTGGGTGAACACTGAACGAGGTACTTCAAAACTGAACTCGGACACTAGTGGATCAGAGAGCTACACTGTTACAGGACACCCTATGATTCAGACCTTACAATGTGGCTTACACCTCAATGCACCACAAAATGTAGATCAGATTTACAGGACAGACTGAACAGCAAATCGATTTCAGTTAACACAATTAAGCAGCATGTTAAAATCCTCATTTTTAGGAAAATATGGCTCCAATAATGTCAATATGGCATTTCAAAATGGCTTCCTAGCATGTCATTAAGTTAATGGTGTAGGAAAATCTTCAGTGTAACAGGAGATTTATATAAATCTTAGCTCTTTGGAAAAAAAAAAAACCCCAAAACCCCCAGAACGTCTATTTCATAGGAAATTCTGGTATGTGGATATTTGGTTTCATCTGATTGAGATGAAAAGTCTACATATTTCTTTTTCCACACTGAAAAAGTCCATTTTGAATTTTGAGGGAAGTATTGAAACATGCACATTATCAAAATATTCTGCTTCAAGTCAGTTTAGAATCAAACCATAACTCCCTATAGTGGCATGTTACCTATGTTGCACTGCATTGCGGGAGCTACCTTCTTAGATTTTTTCCTGTTGAGAAGTTCAAAATAATTTGAAGGGGGGAAAGAGAGAGACATACCCTTGCCTACAGAAAATCCTGATTTTTCAAAAACTCATTTAAAGGACAATTCCCAATCAGCTATATATAAAATATAAAGTTGAAGGACAAACAGCAAACAAACAGCAGATTTGTTCAAGGACAGTGTCAAAAGTATTTTTATACAAAAAGCCAGATTCTGGGAAAACAATAACTACTGCATTACACTAGCAGCGTGAAAGTGCTAAAGTGTTGCCACAGATTCACAGGTGACGACTTCCTGGGCATGTCTACACATGCACATTTAATACACATTAGTCCAATTTAAGGGGCATTAAGGGCACGTGTCTACATGTGTGTGCCCTTAATGAACCTTAAAATGGTGATTTTAAACTATTCAAGCCTAAATTTGATACCTGCATAAAGCAGGTATCAAATTTATGTGCGAATAGCTAAGTCACATTAGTGAACATGTAGATGCACTAACGCACATTAAAGCAGTGCATCTCCACTGACTTGGAACTAACTTTTGTCCCAAGTCTGTCCACACACCCACAATAATGTATCTTAGCACGTGCACATGTAGATGTGCAGCTAAATCGTCTTAATGCACATTATGCCAATGCACATTAAGTTTAGGCATATGTAAAAGCACATGTAAAAACACCCTGAGTGGCAATATAGTATGTTTTCTATGGCATGCCCTTCTAATGAAGACAGCATACCATGGCCCTGGATGGAACAATACTATGTCCCAAGAAACATAAAACTCCTGGGGTGGTAGTAGTAGTAGTAGTAGTACTAGTAGTAGTAGTAGTAGTAGTAGCAGTAGTAGTAGTAGTTGTTGATTTACAGCTTTTACCAAAACAGTATAATACAATGAAACACACGCACGCATGTATACTGAACAACATTTATATAAATCATAATTTTACTAAAAGCATATAAAAGATTATCCATTCTACTAGTTTACACAATTAATATAGAACATGATGTATATAATGATGTAAAAAAGAGGTAAAATGGAGCAATGAACAATAAAACAGAACAGGAAAACTATTTTATTTTGGTCCTTATTCTTTGTGCAAGTTATGCAAATACACCTAAGGAGTGGAAGACAGGCTCTGAAGTGTTAGAATCCACGTTAGTTTTTCCTCATTAGCCCAGTATTTTGTGTTTCCCACTAATGGAAAGATCCATTTCCCTCTTCTTTCTTCAAAGAGCAAACAAGACCACAAATAGTTACTTAAGTCATCAGTCTCATTCTTTCCATAAGAGCATATTCTATCTGAATATGGAATCTGACACCACCTCCCCATGACAGCTGCAGATTATATTATCGTGAATCTCAACCTAATGATGGCCTCTCGTTGTTTGAAATTTTGCACCGGACTGGTTGCTGGGCCAAAGAAGTGTTTTATTAAACTTAAAAAAGGGGAAGTTTGAAATACTCTCACTGCCAGCACATCTGTCTTCATGCTGGCATCCTTAATTCTTAAATCTATGTCTTGTTTTAAATGCAGGGGAAATATTTGGTCCGTTACTCTGAGAATACTTCCCAGGACGCTTATCTGGAGGGTACAGATGTTCTTTAGCCATCCAAACCAGGGTTTATTTGGCAGAGAAGAGGCTTCTAACATGCACATCAAGGGGTATTTGGTAGATGTAAAAGATATAACTTTCATCCAGTAATTTAGGGTTCCTAATTGGGCTAGAGAGCTCACATTTATCAGTCCAGATTCACAGTGCATGAACCCTCCTGTCATAGAATTAGGTAAAGATAAAAGCCACCTTAAAAGTAATTAGAAAACTTTCAATTTTCAGGTGGACCATAGGGTCAACACCCCAGAGTTCTGCTCTGTACAATAACATGGATTGTACCTTGGACCTATAGACTTTTAGTGCTTCCAGAACTGCTGTTCTGCCCATCTTGCTGTAGAAGGGTAAAACTCCACCCAGAGATTGTTTTGCTCTAATATGTACATTTTAAATATCCTTATTCCAGTTCAAATGTTTGCTAAAATATATTCCAAGGTCTTTAAAGGAAGACGTCACCTCCGATTTCTTTTCCTATAAAAAAAATCCCATTTCCTTCTCTCATTTCAAAAGACCATTACTTTGTTTTTAGCTGTATTGATTTTTATGCTATTTGAGCTGCAATATTGTTAAAAGGCATCTAATAATCTTTGAAGACCTATTTGGGATTGCAACAGAATTAATGCATCATCTGCATAAAGCAAGAGAGATATACTCATTCAAAATCATGGGTGCATGGAATTGATTTCCTGTTAGAACCTGTTTTAAATAATTCAAGAATAAGTTGAAAAGTAACGGAGCAAGTAAACATCCTTAGTTGGGAAACTACTGGATAAGGTACCACCGGTCCCATAACACAGTCTTGATGCCGTGTTTGAATAGTAAGTGATGATTAATAGCAAGAGAGCTTTATCTACTGGTGTTATCATCAGTTTCTTCCATAATTTAATCTGTCTAGGTTCCCTGAGATCTATGAAGGTTACATACAGATGATTTTGCTTTTAATATATATTTAGACCCCAGATAACACAATGCCAAGTAATGGAATGGTTCATGCATATCGTTCTCTAAAATCACCCTGCTCTTCTCCCAAAATATAATTTTCAGAGATAATGTCCAAAGGTGAAAAAATAAATGTCTCTCAAGTATTTTGGCAGGAATACACAAAACTAATGGGGTGATAAGATGTGGCATCTCTCTTAATCATTTTTTAAAATTGGGACTATTATATTTTCATTCTAATACTTAGGATAAAAGTGTTCTAAAGTAAGTATATTTAAAATTTTGGTCAGAATTGGGCACCATCGGTCAATGAATTCCTTAAAGATATTGGTGGGAGGAGAAAAATCAAGGTCAGAGGCCTTTCCATTTCTCACTAAGTATATATATGATCTTACATGAGGTTCAGAGATGAGACGATAATTATCTACTTTTAGCTTAACACAAAATTTCCTTCAACAAGAAGCTACCATTTCTTTTACAATCTGCAGATAAGTTGTTAAAAAACATAACCTGTATATCTTTAGGGATATAACCATCAGAAATTACATTAATTTTTTTGTCACTTTGGCTGTAATTTGCCAAAAACCTTGATTATCACTTTTTCCTGTAGCTACTAGCTCCTCCCGTAGCTTCATTTGATAGGGGTTTTTTTTTTTTATCTATCAATTTTTTTCAGCCTGTTTTAATCTTCTAGATCCTTTGAAAGGTAAGGCAGTCATTTTTAGACTTGTATTCCTCCAAGGCATCTGTTATATCATCTTGAGATGGAGAACAGTCCTATCAAACCATGGTCTGAGGCCCCAACAGCATTTATTCCCAGAAAAGGTACTCTTTTTTTTTGTGAGGGCATTTTCCAACTGTTGAGTAACTGCTTCATATTGGGTAATTGCTTCTCAGGGTTCTTGTACTTTGAGAATATTAAATAAGTGGTCTGAGAAAGTGTCTTTGAAGAGGGTGACACGTATCTCATAACTCATTATTCCACTGAATTCTCTTTTTATTGACTACTAATTTGGGGACCAGCTGTATAGTTTTTGGGATGCACTCCCCATAAAATTCTAATGGAATTTTTAGTAACGGGGAAATGGTTACTTTCCATCTATGGTAGTTAATTGGGTGAAGTAGTAATGAGGAAGTATACAAATAATGCACAGCCACCTGTTTCCCCACTTCAGAACTTTTTTTGTTAACCCTTCTTTATGCAAATATCTTCATAGGTAAAGGAAAGACTAAATACATAAGTTATTCTTTTATGTAGTCTTGTTTTTAAGTAAAAAAAAATTCAGAAGGATACTTCTACTTTACTATCTAGCTTCATGGTTACTGAATAAGAAAATGCAGTACATTCTGAAAGTGATGCTTTGTTTAAATCCTGTAACATGAACACTAATAAGTGAGTTTTTGGAATTCTAACATGTAGGGCCACATCTTTCCATCTTTACTAGGAACATATATCATATATAACGGAGGTAGGCAAAATATGGCCCACAGGTTGGAGGCGGCCCACCAAGGAATTTTATGTGGCCCACAGCAGGTCCCTCAACCTCACCTGGCCCAGGCATGGGGGGCAGCCTGGGCCATGGCATGTGCCACCAGTCCTGCCATCCCTGGGTATACAGCAGGGCTACGACAGTGTGGCGGCTATACTCCACTTTCCCGTATACCCCAGTGGCGGCATCTCCTTCCAGCTGCCAAGGTCCAGCCTGTCTACCCTGCAACCATCACTGGGGGTGCCAGACAGAGCAGGCAGGGTCTCAATGGAGACAGACCCAGGATCCGCACAGGTGTCACTGCCCTTCAATCCCGGTCCTGATCCACCCACCAACCCATCCTGCTCCCAGATGCCACTTCCCACCCACCCGTGGCCCCATCCTATTTGCCTGGCCAAGCATGGTCTCCATGGAGACCCTGGGGCTGCAGTCACCAGGTGGTGACAGGATGGGGCCAGGTCCCAGCCCTGGGACAGAGCCATTTAGGGAGTTCTGGTAAGCTGCTGCGAGGCGGGGGAGAGGGGGAATGTGCAGACCTGATCCACAACAGTTCACCAAGACTCCCTAAGTGGCTCTCCACCCCAAATAACTGCCTACTCCTGTTATATAATGTTTTCTCAAAAGAACCTGTTTTATATCAGGGGTATCAAACTTATCCAGTCTTGGACCAGATGAGGTTTGTTGGGCTAGTCTACAGGCTGAACCAGGACTGACCCCCTGTGCCCTGCCCATTGTGTTGGGTCCAGCCCATGTGCTGCTTGCAGCATGCACCAGCCCCAGGACTTCCTGTGCCTGTAGCACACAAGGCATATGCTGGATGTGATGTGTGGACTAGACTCAGCACTGCAGGCAGCACAGGGTGTCAATCTGGGGCACAGCATACAGCCCACACCCTAGACTCCCTGTTCAACATACAAGAACCCTTAACTGTTTTCCCTTGCAGAGAAAAAGAACGTAGAGTACGGTACCCTATTGTAAATGTATCTGTTACTGTTAAACAGCTAAGCTGGAGTGATGTTTGTGTTCAACAATGACATACTTATTTGAAAACTAAAACGTTTTAATTATTTCACAAACTAATCTCAGCAAGGTGATCCATATTTTTCTTCCTATGACTGGTTTATTCAAAGTCCCAGTTGAGACAGTTCAACAATTGGTGCATTTCCAAAATATAAAACAGGATTCTTACTGTACAATTAATCACTTGCAAAGTACTACATCTTTTTAGGAAAAGAACATGAACATGCTTGCTCTCTCTTTTTTTCTCAACAGGTAATTGCAAACTATAGCTGATCTTTACTAGCATCATGACTCTGCCCTAGTCGTAGTAATATATACCGTAGATTTTTAACCACAACAATCAATGGCTTACTGTATACTTAATGAATTCTGTGACCTTTAGGAAAATGTACACTGCTTAAGCAATTTGAGTGTATTTAATAATTTAGACTAAAGGAAAAAACATTTACTTGGTTCAATAAAGATGCGAATATTTATCTGCCCGAGACAGTTGACATTTTATTACCTGGACAAAAGATCAGTCTTAATTATGGAACCATTAATTTTTGTGAGTTTTAATAAAAAGGTTTATTAGGGAGCAAGTATATGCCAGACTTTGGATGAATGAGATGAGAGGGGTTGAATCAATACTCAGTATTAATTAAAAAGATTATTTAAAATTAAATTTTAAAGAACAAAGCATCTCTGTATTGCAAGCTACAAAATGTTCTGTTATTAAAAGATCACAGTATGCCTAAAAATGTTATTAAGAAAAAAAAAGTCCAAAGTTCAGAAAAATGTATGCTATATAATATCAATATTCCTTTTATTTTAGCAGATGAAACACTTTTCAGTAAAATGTACTTTAAGTGGGACAGGGGAACCATATTTCATCTATCCAAAATATCTGTAATGCAGATCTGTAATATTTGCAAAAACTGAACACTGAAAGCAAAAAATAAGGAAATCAACTTCAAAATAGCAGGAAGTGCCATAATATGACTTTTAATTTAAACAAAATGGCAAGGATTTTAGTCTATAAAAACAAGTTGTGCCTGTGTCTTAAAGTTACATTTTGTAATTCTGCACCACTCAAATCATAAAGAAAACCTATCTGAAGATCTGGTGCATTAAATTATAACCTAGGACTTAACACATTTCATAAAAACGTTATAAGCTGCCAACTCTTTGTGAAAAACTTATTCAAAAACAATTCTACTTATACTGACTGTACTACGGACTGTATTTTCTTTTACTTTTTATTGTTAAAGACAGCTGCATAAGAACATGAATGTAACAATTTACTCACTTAAAGTCAACCCTTTGTGATGCTATAAACAGCTCATTACAATTTCTAACAAAGAATAAAGAAACCAAAAGAACATCCACACCTGAATCCCCAGGGACTGTACAGAATTCTACTTACATGAATTACGTGCAAGTTCCATTTCTTTAATCTTGCAACTTTGAAAATAGTGATTTAGAAACAAGCCATCTTACTTGCATGTAAATACCCTCAAACAAGAAACATGGGAAAAATCAAGACAGGAAGCACAGGGCATAGAATACTATTTTTTCCAGAAATAATCTGTAACAGTTGTCAAATGAAACTGAGGGGCATAAACTCACCCCACCTTCAAGAAAAATTTAGTACCCTTACCCCAGGTATAAATGTAAAGATGTTATATTTCTGATTTTTTATGGAATTTCTTGGATATTTTTCTTCACATTTTTCTGGACACCCAAGCCACACTGTCCGCGCTTTTAGTTCTTTCTTTCTTCGGCATATGTTTATGAGCCATTCACAGCAACTGTAAAGGACAAAAAACATTTTAATCTTTAAAAAAACTGCTCTAGGTATTTTGGCTATTGATTAGATGACTTAAAACTATAAGTTAAGTGATGAAACAGATTTAGGATCACAGGTTTGAAAATCTTGAATTCTATTCAACTCATTAACAAAGTTTTGATTCAATATTTAGTACAGGCATGTAGTATCAGGTAATAAAACATGCAGAATAAGTCAAACAATTTTTCTTTTACCCTGCAATGACAATATTCATCAACTAAATTAGCACAATATTTTAGTGTTGTGTTCCTAGATTTCATTAATTTTTGGAAGACACTGCATCTCTACCCTACTTCAGGTTTTTTGGGTGTACCTTACCTGTTCGTTTCCTGACGCACTAAATATTTTCCAAAATATAACCTTAATTTTGAATTTTTGGGGTATTATGTTTTTGCTTTCAAGTGTTGTTTTACTGTTGAGTAACTCAGATATATTCCACACTTAACCAAGACCTTTGTGCTTGTGAATTCTATTTGTATACAGTAGTAAAAGTGCCATATAAGAATGTTAAACAAGAATTCAAAGAGAAAGTTATGCTAAAAATAGTTCCAAATACCTGTGTATCAATGCATCCAAAACCAAGTGAAATGATGCTGAATATTACTACTGCTTTCCATCATGGGGGCAGAGCAGTTTGCAAATGACCTAAAGGTTATTAATTTGCACATGATCTTTAACTTGCAAATGACTTAATTGGTAATGAAAAAAACTGTTAAGATGGCCAGCTTTACATGAACATGGGTCAGAATACCAAGTCTCAGTGATTTAAGATTCATCTCAGACCCAGGTTTTATATTTTGGGTGCCCCAAGCAAAGGCTCTATATCAAGTTTACCTACCATACTACTAATAGCTGCCATGAAACTGGCCATTGCTGGTCAGTTTCAAAGTTACTTGTGCAATGGGGGCTCCTGAGGAGGTCTGAGCACCACATAACTGCACACTTTGCACCACACTAATGTCACCCTAGTTCAGATTTTTATTAGATTTATATGCTGCCCTTCCCACAAAGGCACAGAGCAGCATATAGTAAGAGAATAAAACAACTTTTAAAACAGGAGAACAAATGGGAACAAAACATTGTATAAAAGCAAGTAGAATATCAAAATGAATTGTCTCAGCCTAGTCTTGCTGGCTAAATGCTTGCCCAAATAAGGTCTTACTGTGCTTCCAGAAGACATCCAGGGTCAGGCTTTGGCAGGTCTCAAGGGGGAGGGAGTTTCAGAGTTGAGAAGAAACTGCTGAGAACAGCCTCTCACACATCTGCACAAAGCAAACTTGGCACTTTGATGGTATTTGCAAGAGGTCGCTCTAGGCTGACCTTAGGGATTGTGATAGGGCACAGGAGCCTTAATAGGTCAAAACCAGTATCTTAAGTTGTGTTCAGAAAACTCTCAGGAGCCACTGCAGACTCTGAAACACTTGATTTATGTTGTCCTGGAGATCCACCCTTGATAGAAGGCAGGCTGCCACATTCAGAACCAGCTGTGGCTTCCAGACAGTCAAAGGCAGCCTTATGTAGAGAACACTGCAGTAGTCTAGCCTCAAGGTTATGAACGCATGCATGGCAGTGGCTGGATCCAAATCTGAAAGAAAGTGCGGCAGCTTTCTCACCAGATGGAATTCAAAGCAGACAAGTGCAAGGTGCTGCATCTAGGGAGAAGGAACCTGCAACATACCTATAGGCTGGGGAACACCTCTCTCAACAACACAGTGGCTGAAAGGGATCTTGGAGTCATTGCTGACTTCAGGATGGACACGAGCCGCCACTGCGAGGAAGCGGTCAGTAAGGCTAACCGCACCTTATCGTGCATCTACAAATGCATCACAAACAGGTCCAGGGAAGTGATCCTTCCCCTCTATGCAGCACTGGTCAGGCCACAGTTGGAGTACTGTGTTCAGTTCTGGGTGCCGCACTTCAAGAGGGATGTGGCTGAACTTGAGAGGGTCCAGAGGAGGGCCACTTGTATGGTCAGAGGGCAGCAGGCCAGGCCCTATGAAGATACACTAAAGGGCCTGAATCTATTCAGCCTCCACAGGAGAAGACTGAGGGGATCTGGTGGCCATCTATAAACTCACCAGGGGGGACCAGCGGAAAAATACGTGAAGCTCTGTTCCCCCAGGCACCACCTGGGATAACAAGGAATAACAGCCACAAATTGATTGAGAGTAGGTTCAGGCTTGATATCAAGAGGCATTACTTTACGGTTAGGGCTGGTAGGCTCTGGAATGGGCTCCCAAGGGAGGTGGTACTCTCCCCTACCTTGGGGGTCTTCAAGAGGAGGTTGGCTAGATATCTGGCTGGGGTATTAAGATATCAGCACTCATCCCTGCCCAGGGCAGGAGGTCAGACTTAATGATCTGTTCAGGTCCCTTTCAACCCTAGAAACTATGAAACTAAGATGGCATTGGTGAAAGGCACTCATAGCCACTGCCACTACCTGAAAATGCACATACACTAAAATGTACACTGTAGCAGAGAATCCAGGAGCATCCCCCAGCCCCTTGACTGGCAAACTTGAGTGGCAACAGGAACCTGAACCTCAAAGAGAGATGCCCCAATCACCCGCAGGTCAAAGAGTCAGCCCACCACCTCCATCACCTCTGTCCTATTTGGATTCAGCTTGACTTGGTTTACTTGCGTACAACCCCCAAAATGCAGCCTGGCATTGGGAAAAGATTAGAAATTACAAGGCCCAGGTCACCTGAAAAAAGAGGTATAGCTGGGTTTCATCAGCATACTGATGCCCCCTCACTCAAAAGCTTCATGTGATCTCATTCAGCAGCCCCATACAAACATAAATGGGATGACAAGATGCACCTCTGCGGGGAAGCCAAAGGAAAGATGGGTACATACCCCTGACTATCACCTGCTAGGAAAGAGCAAAACCAATTTAGTGTCTCACCACCACCAGGAGGACATGTGAATGCTTTATCAGCACCTCATGATCACCTGTATGAAAGACTGCTGAAAGATCTAGTAAGATCAGCAGGGGACAATGTCTCCTATTGATTTCCAAGCAGATAGTCAACTGAGGTAACTGAGTCTCTATGCTGTATCCAGGGTGAAAACCAGACTGAATAGGGTCCAGAAATTCCAACACATTCTGATGCGACTGTACCTGTCAAGCAACGGCCTGTTCACACTTCCTGCATCACTGGGTGACAACAATTTAGCATAGAAATAATTTAGCATAGAAAAATACAAACCGATGAGTCTGCAGGTCAATACATTACATAGTTCTGATTTCAAAAGTATCTGGCAAGTAAATAAGATGCTAAAAGGATCAATCTAGCAAAAAATGGAAAAAAAAGCTTTGCTCTTAAACAAAGGGAAAAAAAACAAAACAAAAAAGTTCTATTCTCTATTCCAGTGATCTTCAACCTCATTAGACTCAAAACAGTCCTGAGAAAATGCCAGCTGTTGATTTTCATTCTAATTTTGACTGTGGAAAAATAAGAGCAATTTTTCTGTGGCAAGAGCAGAATGTTTTTAACACTGTGGATATTCTTATTAAAAATTCCTGGGTTAATTTTGTGAGTCATGTTTGCATAGCAAACAGTGCTAATGTTGTGTGGTACCCTGTGGAACCCTTGACAGGATCTCATAACATCACAGGGTGCAATGGGACCCTGGTTGAGAATCACTTCTCTGATCTTTCAGTCTCAACTAATATGGAAAGTTGAACCACTGTTCTTTGTATGGTATCCTCTGTGAAAAAGGAAATGAGTATTTCCAAAGGAATCAAGTTAGAATATGGTCCCATATTTTATGATCTAGAACATAGCAAAACAATTTTCAAAAGAACGCTTTAAGGCAATAAATTTGCCCGTGGAAAGACTATCAGGTGCTTCAGTAGGATGCACATAGAAATTCTTAGGGCAAATCTGTACCTCCAGACCATGTTAGGGGGCACTGGAGTGAACCATGCTGCACCTTCTCCATACCTGCTCTCTGTAGAATGCAATTTAAATCTTCATAGTGCTGTGCTAGGCATGCTTCAGTAAGTTCTACCTCCTTTATTGCTGCAAACCCCCAAATAATCTTCAGGCTTACCTTTACTTACTGGCCATAAAAGCACCCTGTATTGTGTAAGATATGTTTTTTAACTTAACCTATGCAAGAACAAATGAGATGGCACAATATACCCTCAGACATTAAGGACCTTTTCCTGCTCTTACTATTTGCTTCAGACTGAAGCACCTTAAATTAGTCCCTTTGAGCAACTGAGAAATGTAGCTCTTTGAAACTAATTGCATTATATGATATGAAAGAGAATAGCTATGCACAGCTACGATTATGACCATCAGCAAGGTAAACTCTGAAAAGTACAGATTCAGGAATGAAGCTTGCAAGTGGGAAACAATTGTGATACTTTAGATAACAGAGATTGACTGACACACAGATAAGCACACGTTAAGCCCCAAGATGCAAGAAAATCTCAGATGATAGAAATAATTACGGATTTGGGAAATTCAACTTGAAATGTTTCTGGCACATAAATGAGTTTTTACTACTTTCGGACTCTGAAGTCAGTCAATTCTTGTGCAATTTATAACCACATCAGGAATCCCTGTTAGTTCTTGAGTGGCCTTTAAGATGTCTATCTTCTCAATGTAAGCCCTCACCAGTTTTGCAGTACATGAATTGAGACTCCTATGCCTGTTAAAGACTATCATATATTTGAAGAAATTCATCACGTTTGTCAGAATGTGACAGCCAAAACATGACAAACATAACATGTCAAAATCCATATTAAGTTCTAAAATCAATAATTTACAAAAACTGAAATACATTTGTGCACTAAACCTTATTATAATCTTCATAAGAAACTTTGAAGCAAAACATTTTCAGCATATATTAAAAACACAAACACATTTTTTCTTTAGGGGTTAGCTATAAAATGTGTCAACTGACTAAAATTTGACTAATACATTTAAGAAAATAAAAACATGAAAAACA